AGTTATTTTAAAGTTGTCTGTATATCTACCGTTAGGTCTTTTTTTCAGTAACAATTTCTGTTGATTTTTTCCCTTTTGAATAGGCCATACTTTCCTGTTTTTGTTTTTTGTATGCCTTGTGATTTTTTGTTGAACACTGGACATTAGGATCTAATAATGTGGTAACTCTGGAAATCAGATTCTCCCCCTTTCCCACAGTTTGCTCTTTCTGTTTATTATCATTTCTGGTGTTGTGTGTGTGTGTGTGTGTGTGTGTGTGTTTTAAATTATTGTAGCTTGTCTCTGTGTTGAGGACCAGCATGAAGTGTAAACCTAAGTTCTTCTCAGGTCTTTTCTGAGCCTTTTCCTGGGCATGCTCAGTCACTTTCTAATTTTCCCCATGTATGTGCAGTTATTTTTTAGTGTCCTTGTCTTTAACATCTGTCTCCTGAAAGGAGAAAAAGTGAAACATGCAGAAGGGTTAAAAAAGACCTTTAAATCACTTCAGCTGGAGAGGGAGCTTCCTACAATAATGCGGAAGGTGCAACAAGAATGGCTGCCTGTAGTTTGGTGCAGCCATTATGGAAAACAGTATGGATATTCCTCAAAAGACTAAAAATAGACTTACCTTATGATCCAGTAATTCCACTCCCTGGCATATATCCAGAGGGAACCTTAATTCAAAAAGATATGTGCACCCCAATGTTCATAGCAGCACTATTTACAATAGCCAAGACATGGAAACAGTCTAAATGTTCATTGACAGATGACTGGATAAAGAAGCTGTGGTATATTTATATAATGGAATAATACTCAGCCATAAAAAATAATAATGCCATTTGCAGCAACATGGATGGACATGGAGATTGTCATTCTAAGTGAAGTAAGCCAGAAAGAGAAAGAAAAATACCATATGATATCACTTTATATGTGGAGTCTGAAAAAAAAAAAAGACAAACAAATTTATTTATAAAACAGAAACGCTCACAGCCATAGAAAATAAACTTTTCTTTACCAGGAGGTAAAGGGGGTGGGAAGGGATAAATTGGGAGTTTGAGATTTACAGATACTAACTGCTATATATAAAATAGATAAACAGCAATTTCATACTGTATAGCACAGGGAACTATACTCAATATCCTGTAGAAACTTAAGGTGAAAAAGAATGTGAAATATATATAGATATAGATATATATCCATGTATGACTGAAGCATTATGCTGTACGCCAGAAATTGACACATTATAAACTGACTATACTTCAATTTTAAAAAAATATATATGTATATATACATACATACACACAAAAAGAGAATGGCTGCCTGCCTGTTTGTCTGAATCTCTGTTATTAGAAGCAGCAATCAGTGATCAGAGCACAGATCCCCAGTATTTGGAGAACAGGGTCTTTTTTGCCCACCCTGGCTCCCACCAGCTGTGTTCAGGCTGCTCCAGGCTGCCTCCTGGCCTCCTACCTCATGGCTCGGGGTAGGGGTGGGTAGCTGCTACTGTGCTAAAAGCCAAAATTGACCAAAATAAACTGCAATTTACCATTCAAGGCTTCCCAAAACCAAAGTTGCAAGCCATCAACAGACTCCAGAGTTCCCAAATGGTTACATTAGAGGATTCTGCCCCTGCATTTGTTTTCCAGGTGGGAGACAGATTCTCACCTCTCAACTCCTGCTCCACCATCTGCCCTGAATCTGCTTGGTGCAAATCTTACATGCAGAGCTTGATGTAGTTTTACATATGTACACACCTGTGTAACCTCCACCCAAATCAAGATATAGAATATTTCCAGCACCCAGAAGGCTCCTTCCTGCCCCTTCCAGTTTGTACCCCTAGAGACAGCCATTAATCTGACTCCATCCTCAGTGATCGTGTGCTTCATGTGAGCCACACAGCATGGGCTCTTTGGTTCTGTCTCCTTTTGCTCACATGCTGTCTGAGGGATTCACCAGCTTGGTTGAGAGTAGCAGAAGTGCATTCTAGTAAAAATTGCTTATAGAACCTACTGTAGGGAGGTGCATCCTTCTTTTACACCCTCGCTCGCTGGTGGGCACTGTGATCACAGTGGCTGTGAATATTCATGTGCCTAACGTGCGGTGGATGTGAGAGCTCTGTCTCGGTTTTATATCCAAGAATGGATGTAAAATTGCTGGATTACAGGATGTGAGTACTTGTGGTGGGTACATCCAAACAGCTTTTCAAATTGGTTAACATTTTACTGTCCCATTTGCGACATTCTCACCAACACGGTATTGTCCGTCTTTTTCACTCTAGCTATTCTGATGGGTCTGTAGTTGTATCTCATTGTGGATTTAATTTGCATTTCCCTGATAAATAATAATAATGGGCACCTTTTCATGTACTTGATGGTATTTTGAATATAGTCTTTTTTGGTCCAACTTTTCAAAGACTTCACCCATTTGAAAATGTGTGTTAACTGACTTTTTCTTACTTATTTGTAGGAGTTCTTTATATATTCTGTATATGATTCCTTTGTAAGATAAATTGAAAATACTGTCTCCCAGTCCAGGGTTTGGCAAATCCATCTGTTGGACAAATCCATCCTGTGGTTTTCATATGGCCTGCAAATTAAGAACGGTTTTTTATAATTAAAAAAACAAATGTGAGAATGATATGTGACAGAAAGCATGTGTGACCCATGGAGCCTAATATATTTACTATCTGGCCCAGTCTGTCTGTGGCTTGTCTTTTTACTCTCAATAGCTGTGTCTTTTTATTGTGTGTGGGTAGGGAGGAGGGTAATTAGATTTACTCATTTATTTAAAAAG